ACAACGGAGATTAACCCATCTCTTCATAAAGTAGGCAGTAATGTGAAAACTGTTGGCTGCAACATAAAACAAATGGATAATAATAAGTGTAAGGGTATCTTGGGCATTCTGGTCTCCAAGTGTTGCACACCTGCAAAGACAGGATTGAGAGAATGCAGCAGCAGTAGCTCAAGAATACAAAAGAAAACATAATTTTAAAGGAATATTTTTAAAAAGAAACTACTCATATTGAAGTCTCAAGAAATTAGTATCTGAAACAGGAAAAATCTGAACAAACTACTAACCATCAAGTTCTGATACCAAACCACACAAATAAACTTCAATCAATTAATTGATCAGAGATGTCGTTGACTTAATAGCCTAGTGCCATGGTCACTAGTCCAATAGGCTAGAGTCCTAGTCACTATGATGTTTTCATACATATTCTGTAAGAACACTACAGATGACCATTTACTTAACTGCCTTCTAGAGGAAGGCAATATATTCAAAGGTGATAGAAAAAATGCTTGCTATAAAAAACAAACATGAAAGGTCTTAATTATCTGCGATTTCATTGAATTCAATGAGAAATGCATACACTTAAACTCCTCAGTATCTACAAGCAGATAGACCTAGCCTAGCTGACCCATTAGATACTTGTAACACACACAGAAGCTTCTTCTAGTTTTTATTCCTGAGAACAACAGAAATCCTTGTGCACCAGGAGTACAAAAACAGAACAGAAAGGATTCTATTACAGCAAAGAGACTACTAGACTACAGCTACGGAAATCAGCTTTTACTTTTGTTCTACTTAAATTCCCAAATGACCCTGAGTAAATCAGTTAGGACTTGATTCATAAAGGTATTTAGCAACCTAACTCCCACTGAAATTGAAAGAAGTTAGCATCCGTGACTCCTCCTCCATAGTCTCTCTGTACACCTCACTAAAATGAATGTGCAAAAGAGGGTATTTCCCCTAACTGTGATGGCTTTTTCAAGACTTAAATTATTGCTGCTTCCAAGACAGTCAGATACCCTAGGTGCACTTATCATAGAAAGTTAGAAAATTAAGTGCTACTACTGTTCTTCTAATCTAACCTTTTAAAAAAAGGTAAGGAAAGCTTGTTTGTTCTAGTCTCAGTCTCTACTGAATAAGTGCCAAGGCATGCCTTATTCCTAAGTATAAGCCCCAAAATGCATGTCCTCTCCTGCACAGTTTACAACTCTCCTACTTGTACAAGATCTCCTGGAGATCACCATCAAGTGCTGTTCAGCATCACCTCTCATTAAGAACTATACTTATTGATCACAATCAATCCCTTTGAAATTTATCAGTCATCTTTTTTCTTTCCCCTCAGGAATATACCTAAAATTTGACTTCCCTTTAGAGATCAAGTCAAGATGCAACAAGTTGAACCATCCCTTAAACATGATGAGTGCTAGAGAAAAATTTGGATGTAATCCACCAGCTTTATTAGCTGTATATTTATGAGCACAATTAAAGAAAATTACTTTTAGCTATTTCCAGTTTGGCATCCACAATTCTTTAACAATGTCAGTAGGTTTAGCGAAATCAAGGAATTTGTCCTGTATATAAATAAGTTATTAGTGTGATAATAGCATCTTCCACTGTGACCTCTGTAATGCTGAAACAGTAACTTTCATAAAAATAGAACTTTGCGAATAAATCTTCAAACAGAAAGTATTATTAAAAGAGTGTTTCCACCTTCATGTGCCTGGGATATTCCAAATCTATTTTTCTTGAGAACTACTAAAAATGAAAAAGTATGACTCTCTTACTTTTCACAGAGAAAAGCATGCTACTTCATTCCTGAAATTCTTTTATGAATCAGTGACATGCACATCCATTTATTTTTCTTGCTATCCTGGTATTCTCTGAGAGTTTAAGTGTTTAACCATATTTGACTGACTAATGGCCTGAACAAAAGTTTCATATTCCTCTTAAAGGCCCTTGATTCAACTAGCTACTGTTCTCTGGAAGCAAATACCCTACCTCCAATCTAGCAGAATAAATAATTATGTAAGAGATCAAGACACCTCTACACTGTTTTTGCAGTGTCAGCTCAAGTCTGAAAGTCTTATGAAGCCTTCAGGGAGTTGCACCTGAGCAAATAAGCTCAGACCAGAGGGACTAACACTAGGAAACAATTTCAGTTTCCGTGACTATTTACTACTTGACTGCTGAAAAAGATGATGATTTGATGTTACTTATTGCTGTGAGAAAATTTTAAGATGCATTACATTCAAGATACCTATATTTTTAAAGTGTCACACAGCTACGCTCATCAAATATTTTGAAACCCTCTTGTGTGTGACATCTGACCTAATCCATAGTCAGCTGGAGTCTGCAAAACTTCCGTAGTTTTAAAGTTGCCAAAGTTACTGCAGAACTATAAAAACTGTGATATCCTCTTTCTGCTTCCTTCAAGTGAAATATATCATCCAATTAACCATGCCGCTTCATGAAATAAGAAACCAAAAACTAAGCCCCCAAGAAAACCTTCTTGTCCAACAACCTCATGCAACTTGCAGCTTTTTAAACTTTCTACACAGTTACTCAGCATGAGTCTAAGTCTGTTCTCAATTCCAGACTTGTCCACCATCAATGCTGTGTATATGCTAGCATATACTAATGTTGGCTTTGGGCAAGCTGTGGATTATGCTCCTGGGAAGACAGCCAGTGTATACTCAGCAAGGACCAAAAGCTGCTGTTCATGATATCTGGAAGGAGGGACCAACTGATAGGTACCAAACCATCCATCACTAACTCCTTTTAAGCACACCGTAGAAGTTCTAACCCCAAGCTACACACAGCATTTTGCAGCCCGTAATGTAGAGAGAAAGTTCACAAAACTTAGGCTTAGCAAACCCGGTTGGCCCGATCTTCAATTTCCTCTTCAAAACCTCCATTTGTAGACTACCAACACAGAAGCAGAAATAAAACTGCTGTTAGTGATTTGGAGTTTTGCTTTTCTTACTTCAGAACTGTGCCCCTAAATCATCAGATCCAGATTCTAAAGACAAACAATGAAAAAAAAACCCAAAACAAAAAAAAAAACCCAAACCAATGACAACAAACCACCAAAAACACCAGACCTTGAAACCCATAATAAGACTGAATAAAAGTGGTTCTAGAAAAGCCACAGTTGAGTTTCAGCTGAACTATGTACCAGTGAGTGCTGCCTTTTAAGGGAATGGTAATTTGCCCTGGTTATTATATTTCATAGTCCCACGACACTGAGGGGAAGTATCAGACACTGACTCTCTACTGTAAGACTATCCAGCAACACTTGTTTTTCAAAGGAGTCACAGCCAAGCTGACTTGTGCTTCCAGAAGACTGCCAAGAAGAGACTGTGGTACAGCGTGGAACAGCAGGAAGCCCTCTCCCACGGCTATTACGGACCGTTCATCTGGGAGCCTGGGAAAATGCCTCTGAGCTGCTGAGTTATCTGGAGCAGCCTGGCAGGTGTTCACTTCCCAGCACAATCTGGCACCTGCATGGCTCTGTAACTAAATTCAGTCAAGTCTTCTCCAAAGCCACAGTATAAGCCTAAGCAGGCCGATTGCCCCCCCAGTTTCCATATATGACTGGCACCTATTTCTCACCACAGAGTATTTTTATTCCACCTCTGAAAAAAACCAAACCCTATTTTTCCTTTCAGCCTAGATGTTTCACATTTCTGACAGGTTGTTCTGTATTAGGATTGCCTCTGTGTTTGGAAAGGAACAAGGAACACTGCAACACATAGATATTAAAAAAATAAGAGGATTAATTTCATATGTTAAAATGTGAAGTAAATACACAGGTGCATTAGACTTTCTGAAGTACTATACTGAATATTTAAAAATCTACATTTTGCTTATGCTAGATTAATTATTCCACACTGATTAAGCTATACAAGTAATAATGTTTACAGTATACAGAGCTTTTCATCTTCAAAGCGCTCTACAGGCATATTATTACACTGCTTTTTAGCAGTCATATTTCTTCACTTAAAATTATTCACCACTAAATCCAAATTCCTGATAGTTTGTAAACAAAACAAAAAAGGAACCTTTTATTCTAAACCTACTGTTAATCGTGCAGCTTTCCTTCCCCAGAACGAACATACATCTTCACAGCATGTGCTCCACAGTAGGTTGCCATTTCTAATTTAGAAGAGATTCAAAACTAAACACTGGCATGTAAGTTTAAGTCCAAGTCTAGGACAGACCAGTGACACCAGATGCAAGACACCAGATACAAAAAGCTGTTGAGACTTCCTGAGCCTTTTCTGGTGTTCAGAATGGGTACAGAATTTCTCTATCATCTCAGACACACGTAAAAAAAAAAAACAAAAAAACAAAACCAAACAAACACCCCCCCCGACTTCATAGTTAATGACAACAAGCATTTTCACCTAGTGCAAAATTTTTTACACACTAAATAGTGGGTTCAGAACAACTTAAACAGCTGAGGTTGCCATCCATTCTTTCCATCCATTCTGCCTTCAAGTCAAAGAACTTTTAAATTATTTTTTCAGTTTTTCATTATTTCAAATGATAAACACAAGCAAGTACACAGAAATATACGTACTGATCAGTGTAAAATAAAGCCCATAAACTTAAAAAAAAATGTTTAATAACTAAGAAAAAAAAATCAGGCCATTAAATTTATATACGTAAAGGATGGACTAAAAAAAAGAGACCAGGGTGCAGTATTGTGTGAGTGAGTATTGCTGAAGGGTCTGATCTTGCAAGCTTTTATACCTGCAAATAAATCCAGTGATGTAATTTGCCTCTGTTTTTTTCTAGGGTGCCTTACAGTCAGCTTAAACCAAGTATAGACAAAAACAGATTACTGATTTTTGCACTTTACTCTTTCGCAATTTTATTAGTATTAGTGCTGTTCTTCTACCTGGTAAATCTTCTGAACACAGGCCAGCTGCCATTACAAATAGGTGAGAGATCTGTCCCATCAAGAATGTGGGGACAGGATTTAGTTCTTGTCAGGGAACAGGGTCCCTGACTGGAAAAAAGACATTAACCTTTACATGAATCTGATCAAGACAGA